CAAAGTAACAATCTCGTTAGTGTTCTTAAAATGTAAATTTCTGTGCCAGTCTACATCTGACTACGAATCTGTAAAGCTTGTAGCCAGAGCAATAGAGTGTATTATTGTATGTGTTGTAGCCAAAACCTGCCAAAATTTAGGTAAAACCACAGGTATACTCAGTGTTGTCTTTGGGCTTACTGCATTAAGCGCTTTGTTTTTTGAGATGCTGGTCAAGGTTCATATCTGCTTAAACACTGAGCTTGTGTTATACTAGGAGCTTTGCACTTACATTTAGCAAGTAAATTGGAATAGGCCTGCTGTCTGACAAACAATAACCATTAACAATTGGCAAAACCATTGGGGCTAAAATCCTTGCAATGTATATAGTTTTGAGATTGAAAGGTTTGTCTTTTCTCTGCTTTGCACATTAGGGCCTTTTTAAAACAGAAAAGTATCTGCGTGTCTCACTTCTGTCACAAATCCAAAAAATAAGGACTAATTCCTAATTTTAGGATAGTGGCCATGCTTTACAGGCCCCAGGCCATGATGAACCCATTTGGTGGAATCCTATACCTATATAGGTGAAACTCGAATAATTAGAATATTGTGCAAAAGTAATTGCAGTAAGTGCTGCAAAAGGGGCCCAAACCAAGTACTGAGTACATATGCATGCTTGTACTTTTCAGAGGTCCGATATTGTTCTATGTACAATCCTTGTTTTATTGATTGCATGTAATAATCTACTTTTTTGAGGTTGTGGATTTGGGGTTTTCATGAGCTGTAAGCCATAATCATCACAATTATGACAAATCACGGCTTGAATTATCTTGCTTTGCATGTAATGAGTCTATCTCATATATTAGTTTCACCTTTTAAGTTGTATTAGTGAAATAAATGAACTTTGCACGATATTCTAATTAATCGAGTTTCACCTGTAGATTCCTTCAGGAGTTTGTATGCCGGAAGGGTAAAGTTTGGCTGCTATGTGTTTAGTGCCCTGCGTAGGCTGCTATCACCCATCCAGACCACCACTTGTGGATACAGGGCTGGTCCCTGCCATTTGGTGCTGGCAACCCCTTCTGCGTGTATTCTCTCATCCCCTTTGGGGATTAGCCTTGTGTGCTTCAAAGCATTTAAAGTGACATTAAAGTAAAAAAAAATGTTCCCTCCCCCCATTTTAATGTTAGCACTTACCTTAAATGATGTCTCTTAATCCGATCTTCTTTCCTGATGTCCAATCCAGCGCTGACTCCTCTGTGCTTGCAGGCACTTCCGATCCAGCGCTGTCTGCATGCGGGTGCACGCGTCCATAGACTTACCTTGCGTCTCTGCTCGTCTCCCGGCCGAGAATCCGAACTGCGCATGCGCCCACCCCCAAGATCCTTTGCGGCCGCACGAGCAGTTCGGATTCTCAGCGCGGGAGTGCGCCGTGCTAACGAGTTTAAACAAGTGATAACAAGCGATAAGTTTAAACCGCTGTTAAAGCGGTTTTTGTTTTTTTAAAAAAACTTTTTGCCTATATCTACTGCTTACTAGCAGTAGATATAGGCAAAAAGACAGAGGCTTTAGAACCCCTTTAAAGATGTGTGTTGAGCCCCAGGGCACTACAGTATTGATGACACATCAGTATTGATGATTCTTTTTTTCCTTTTAACTGCTTTTGTTTATAAAAACCTGTGCAGTAGTTGCCATTTTCCATTTTTATTTTTAGGAACAAGATGGGAGTGGAACACTGTTTTTAAATCATTGAGTATGCCTTGTTAGGGCTGCAACACACTTTTGGGTGGTAACCCCGCCCATTTTATGTGCCGCATACACATGCTGTTGTGTGTGTGCGCACCTCCTCTGTGGTCCAGCCAGCTCCCCACGAGGTCCAGGAAATATCTTAATTGCTGCTGCCACCTTACAGTAACTGGGTCACAAATGGTATTAGCCCTTGCTACCTCACCAGTGGTTTGTTAGTACTCCTTGTGGTAAATTTCTCATTGTGGTAAATTTCTCACTTTTCATACTGTAGTATGGAGGATTATCAAGCACAAGGGTAACAGTTCTGTGGGCCTTGCCAGCTTACGAGCCACTAGCAGTTCTGGGGTGGCTTGCAGTGTACCTCAAGAACCTGACACCGATAAACCTGAGCACTGTTGCCTACTTGATTCCATACTTTCCTTAGAGTCCTCTTCAACTCCTTCGGACATGGCCCCCCCACACCCCCCCCTTTGTTTTGTCCAGAGAGGAGTTTTTTGCAGCTTTCAAAAAATGTCAGAAATGAAAACTTGATTCAGAATGCATGGATTCCTCACTCTCCTCCTAGTGTCTATCTCTGATTTCTGTGTGACTGCAGCTGCTTTTAAACATTCAGCTTAGATGAGTGTACCTATTCCTTTTGATGAGTTGGTACATGCAGTCTCAGTCTGCTGGCCTAACTCTTAAGCTTAAAATATATTTCTACGATTGCTTTCAAATTTAAGAAAACTCATATGTTTGTGTTTCCTGATCACTAAGCACACCTAAAAATAATTTTAACAAAATGTTTCTTACCTTTTAGGTGTTTCTGTGTAACAGGCCTTTGCAAGATTCTCTCTATTCTCCAGTTAGAGGAAACTCTGGCTCTCCCCATAGAAAGATTAGGGACAAACTGAGCTTCCCCTCATTAACATACAATGATTCTAGGTCTAGATTCACAAAAATCTTGTGACCTCCACCTGGCAGGCCAATTGTGTCTGCTACAGACAGCCCAACTGAGAAGGTGGGAAAATTTGTAGATGGCTCACTAAAACCCTTGGTGCAGCTTTTGCCTTCATTTGTCCTTTATACAGGTGAGATTCTACATGGCCTAGATGGCTTTCTATTTGACAGCAAAAATCCAGCCCTCATCAACTCTTTTCCACCTTTTTACATGTCTATTTTGTCCCCTACTGCCTCCACCCACTAAATTATTCACTGCCCAGGACATTGCATTCATTTCAGAAACAAGATAGATGCAATTCGTGATAAGATCTTCACTGTCCAGTTATCTTTTCCAATTAACATCCACTTTTATCCAATTAAAGTCCACCATCACATTGGTACTTTTCTCCTTTTATTCTGTCACTACAGAAGAGGTTGCAAAGCTTTTCTCGGACACCTGCCTCACCACCTGGACCCTGTTCCTTGACCCTGGTCACCTTCTTTCTCTGTCCTACACTATCTTACTCGGGTCTTAAAGCTTTCGCTCTCTACTGGCATCTTCACCTCCCCTCTAAAACATGCACTGGTCACCTCCATACTGAAAAACACCCTCACTGGACCCCACCTACCTGATTAATCTCAGACCAATCTCCTTACTCCCGTTAACCTGCAAACTCCTAAAACGCCTAATCTACAACCGCCTGAGCTGCCATCTCACTCATAACAACCTTTTTGGCCCCTTACAGTCTAGCTTTCACCCACAACACTCCACTGAAACCGCCCTCCTAAAACCCACTGACTTATTGAGTGCTAAAAACAATACACCATTACTCCTTACTCTTGCCATTAGACCTTTCTGCTGCTTTGGCCCAGTTGACCACCCATGCCTCCATGCCTCTGCTCTTTCATGGTTCTCCTACCTATCGACGCACTCCTTCTTTAGTTTCACCTACAAATCTACTTCCTCCTCTCCTCTTCCTCTTTTTGTAGGAGTCTCCCAAGGTTCTGTCCTCTGACTCCTTTTTTTCCTATATCTACACCGCTTCCCTTGGTCAGCTGATAAACCTGCATGGTTTCCAAAACCATCTATATGCTGATGATGCACAAATATATCTCTCCACTCCACAGCTCACCTCCTCAGTGTCCTTGCATGCTATCAGTTTACTAACTGACATATCATCAGTCTGGATATCACCCCCCATGCACCTTTTCCCTGACTTTGCCATTGAGATTAATAGCACAACTATCCCTCCCTCCCCCATTTCAAGGTGTTGGGTGTAATCCTGCCCTCTGACCCCACCTTTCAGCCTCACATCCAATCACTATGCAAATCCTCCACTCGCTTGTTATCTCTCGTCTTGACTATACCAATTCCCTCCTCGTTGGCCTACTTCTACACAGGCTATTCTCCCTTCAGTCTATCATGAATGCAACTACTAGACTCACCTGCCTCACCAACCGCCCAGTGTCTGCAACCCCCCTCTGCAATCCCTCCACTGGCTTACAATCGCCCAAAGAATAACATTCAAAATATTAACAAACACTTAGAAAGCAATCAACAACTCTGCCTCAGCTATATCTCCAATCTTGTATCAAAGTATCTCCCTGACCGCCTCTCCATTCCTCCCAAAACCTCCTGCTTTCTAGCTCCTTCGTCAACTCCTTCGATGCTCGCTTCCAGGACTGCTCTATGGTCTCTCCCATCCTCTGGAACGTCCTACCCCAACCTGTACGGCTATCTCCTACTCTGTCTGCCTTTAGGCAATCCCTGAAAAGTCATCTTTTGATTTCTTCATTTATGTTTAGGCATGCTGTGTGAATAAGAAAACATAACAAACCTGTTGTGGGGTTTTCCTAAATGTTACTGCTAAAGTGGAAATACCCTATGAGTGTATTTATTCAACATTTGTCATGATAATAGGGTCCCGTCCTAGTCCAGCATGCACAGTTGTGCAGGAAATGGCAATGACAGATGCCATTGGTAATGCTGCACACAAGAAGTTTATCTCCTGCCTTGCTGAGTTCTCCCTCTAGGAGCTCATGGGAACAACGTCTTCCTCAGCTCAGCAGAATTTACACACAAGTCAAGGCCTTGTTGCAGTGAGGGAATCAGAAACAGACTTCCAATTAGTTGTTTTTTTTTTACGACTGCTACCTAAAGACACTGCTGAGCAGATTACATGTGCAGTATATATTGGTGGGAAAAAGTGTTTATTAATAAGTAAGCATATGCCTCTTAAACAAGCATGTAGCTAAACCACAGACATTGGTCAGATGAGAGGCCTAAATAAACCCCATCAGCCTGATTTAAGGGTTGCAAACTTGTCTTACACCAGCTTTCTTTTGTTTAGGTATTTCACACTGTTCATGAACCTGCTGAATGATTGCAGTGAGGTTGAAGATGATGGCACACAGACAGGTGGCAGGAAGAGAGGCATGTCTCGGCGCTTAGCTTCCTTAAGGCACTGTACAGTGTTAGCTATGTCTAATCTTCTGAATGCCAATGTGGATAGTGGCCTTATGCACTCAATAGGTAAGTAGCCATTGCTGGCTTTGTGTATCCTTTACTGTAGTTGTTTCACTGAACCATATCACATTTTCATTTCTGCATGTTTTGATCTTAGGTCTTGGCTACCATAAGGACCTACAGACAAGAGCTACATTCATGGAAGTCCTCACAAAAATTCTGCAGCAGGGAACAGAGTTTGACACATTAGCTGAGACAGTTCTAGCTGATCGCTTTGAAAGGCTAGTGGAACTAGTGACTATGATGGGGGACCAAGGGGAATTGCCTATTGCCATGGCTCTAGCCAATGTGGTTCCTTGCTCACAATGGGTCAGTTATACATCTTAATTGCTTTTTTCAAGTGTAATGGAACAACCAAATGGTGTTTAAATGGTGATGTTATAATTGTACTGTTTTTCTCAATTATCTAACCTATTGCACTGCATTTAAAATTTTGATAATCTGCTTCATAACTATGCATAGTTTCTTAAAACCAAGCTTTAGGAAGCAAACAAACAACACATGTAATTTAAGACCCATTTGGAATGCCTGCACGCTAAATGTAAAGTGTACAGAAGGACTAATATGGCTACCAGTCATTGATGTAGCTGCCACATCCCGGGCTACAGTTCAGGGCTGCAACCAACTAATCGATTTTATAAAAATAGTTGGCAATTATTCTCATTATCGATTAGTTGGTTGGATCCCTTAGCTCACTCCTCTGGGAGGAGGGCACAGAAAGCAGTGGGCTTGTGAAATAGCCAGCATGCTATTGCAATTTGAAATGGCCAATATCAGGCTGGCTATTTCACCAGCCCACTACCTGCTGTATTTACATTCAGCTGCCATCTGCGGAATCTTGACACTGGCAGCTATCAGTCCCTGGCTGAAGCTATTCAAGCCCCATGTGCTTACAATACAATTATTAAAGAGAAATTTATGAAAGGCGGGTTTTGGCCTGACAAATTCTGCTGAGGGAGGTGCGTTGCAGTGCCGTTCATTTCAGTGGCACCCCAATCACGCCTTCCACCCACAGTGTGATCACCCGCTCTGGAACGCACAGTACCGCAATGCAATCCAGTGCAGTGCAATTGCAAAAAAATTGTGCATACAGTTTTATTATGACGTAAACTTTTGTAACACCTGCATTTGTGTCTCTTATTTTAAATTAAGGAGGTATTTTTTTTTTTTGACTCCGATTTAATGAAAAAAGAATCGGCCAACTAATCAATTATGAAAATATTCAGTTGCAGCCCTACTACAGTTCCCGTCTTTGGGTGAGCTTCTGGGCGCAGCAGTGTAGAGTGTGACAGTGCTAATGGTAGGTACCCTGTTTCCCCGAAAATAAGACCTAGTTGTGACCATTCCCAGGGCTGGTGGTGGCATAAGGGGGAACTTGAAGAGTCGCGGGAGAGAAGCAGCTGTGCCAACGAAGCCAGCGCTAGAGGAAGCGAGGCGGCACCGGAGGGAGCAGAGCCGCATAAGCCGATGCCTCCTCTATAGCGCCGGCTCCTGTCAGAGGCGGAGTGATTCCAAAGGCACTCCGCCTGTGAGGGATCGATAGTGAAAGTGCGCTTCGCTCTTTCTGGCCAGCCATTGGTTACCAAATTGCTCTTGAAAAGGTATGGCACCCCTGATCACCATATTTTTGTACATGAATACATGTAGACTGTTGTACATGAATAAGTGTGGATTGTTGTACATTAAAAAAAAAAAGACCTACCCCGAAAATAAGACCGTTGTGTGTTTTTTTGAGCAAAAAAAAAATAAGACTGTCTTATTTTCGGGGAAACACGGTATGCCTTCATGGACCATGAAAAGGCTGTCCTCTCCATAGTCCGTAGTGACTGGGCTTGAGATGTATTAGGCAGGCACACTGGCTATCTTGTTGCATGATCTTTGGTATGCCAGTGAACAATAACACACACATGGTTGTGCCCATCCTTGGCTCTCTCCAATCTAGTTCAGTAGGTTACAGAGGAAGGAATCCTCCACTGAAGACTTAGTTTTACCTGTGTGACAATAAAAACTGATATCTGATAGTTGCACTAGGTAAATTGATGTTTGAAGGAATGCAGAAGTGAACTGAAGTTTGCTTTGCCAGGTGTTTAATTTTCATTGTTATGCTGTTGTATATATAAATGTGTTTTTTGTTGTTTTTTTTTTGTCCCTTTTAATTCTCATTGACTGACTTTTTAAACTGTTTTTTTTTACTTCTTAGGATGAGCTTGCACGAGTCCTTGTGACGCTCTTTGATTCCCGACACCTACTGTACCAGCTTCTGTGGAACATGTTTTCTAAGGAAGTTGAGCTAGCAGACTCCATGCAGACACTTTTCAGAGGGAACAGCTTGGCTAGTAAAATCATGACGTTTTGTTTCAAGGTTTGTACTTCCAGTAATAGAAGATTGTGTGATACCGGCATAGAAGGCAATTTTATGTTTTAAAAACGCTTTTATGGCACTTGTTTTAAAGTGGTCATCGGAAGTGAAGGGACATTTTTCAGTGGCTACAGATAGCAGTAGAAACCTGATGAATGCTGTAGCTCCTTCCTCACTCTTTCCAAAACATACAAAAGATGAAGAAAAAAAAATTAGCTAGTGTTTCAGCCAAACAGTGTAACTAAATAGTTACATTTCTAACAATTGTTATATAATCAGGATAAGTCTTTCAGTGGGTGCTTTGTGGACAGTTATCAATAGCATGTCAAATGAGTTATTTTTCAGGAAAACATGTTTGTTTATTGTTTAGCTTGTTAAGCCTGCTGTTTCTCATCTCTCAAGGGGCATTGATGCTGCTATCCAAGTTGAGAATTTCTGCTTCCATCAGAGGTTTCTGAGACAGGCATTTTGGCACATTCCTTTTGAAACTTGTTCCAATGATTTCCTGTATTATTTTCAGGTATATGGGGCCACGTACCTTCAGAAACTTTTGGAACCACTATTGAGACTGATCATAACCTCTCCTGAGTGGCAACATGTCAGTTTTGAAGTGGACTCTTCAAGGTTTGACCTCATTTTATCTTATCAGACCCAAAAGCTTTATGACATTGCGCAGTAAAAGATTGACAGATTAAACACGGTATACTACAAAATGTACCTGGTCAAAACAAAAGAATTGCATTTACGGTTACCATTTGAAGACCATTTGTATTTGCAAGAATGAACTGGCAATATAGTCCTATTCATAAAAAATATATTTGTGCATTTATTTATCATCTAGCTTTATACCGTTTTGTAATATCTGAGACTAACTGCTTACTACTTGGCATGCTTTTTTAACCTTTTATTTCCAACTTTCATAGCACTACTTGTCATATGCTTTCAAATATATTCATTGTCCCTATAACCTATTTAACATGGCTTGGTTTATCTCTGTTGGGATTGTGATTATGTTTTTGAAGGTTGGATGGAGTTGAAAGCCTTGAAGAAAATCAGCGGTGTCTACTTCAGATGACGGAGAAGTTCTTTCATGCCATTATAAACTCCACCCATGAATTCCCTACTCAGCTGCGCAGTGTGTGCCATTGTCTGTACCAGGTATGCAAATCAGTATATAGCTGCTATATTTTACAAGAAGCAGTTACTGGCACTCTTTACTCTGAATGAATAGTTATTGAGAACTGCAGTGTTTTCAATAAAGTTTGAACATCCTGACATTTTCTCTCATACTAGTTACTGTAAATGTACTGTTTTGAAGTTTAAAAATGTAAAAACTGTAGAAGTAGTACATGTTGATAAAACTTTTACCTATTGTAATCATTTGCTGGTAAGTTTGACCCCATAACATAAAACACAATATATCCAGTTTTAAATATAAGTACGCCAAAATGCATTTTGCTACAACAGAGGTGAGTGTGTTTTCCACACCATCAGCCGACCATGACGGATAGGATGATCTTGATGCAGGTCTTCAAACCTGCTAGTTGATGCCACAGGTTTGTACAATTAGATGTATATGCCATTTGCTGGACATCATTCAGTGCAGCTCTACTTTAACGAGAGCTAATATTTGTTATTCCAATCTGGCTCTCTACAGGAAGGAGACCATTAGCTGAGTGATCAACAGTTATATGATCACTCGGCTTTTCATATATACAGCCAGCGTGACAGTTGCATTGTCACACCCCATATCTAAGTATTGTAAACAGAATACTTTACTCTCCCAATACTACTAACCCCAGTGGTGATTAAATACCACCAAAATAAAGCTCTATCTGTCCCCAAAAAATGGTATAAAATTCATTTCTGTACAGCGTTGCATGACGGAATAAATGTCAGTCAAAGTACTGCAGCGCTGAAAACTAAAAAATGGCCTGGTCAGGAAGGGAGGTCTAAACACCTGGTCTTGAAGTGGTTAACATCAGTCATGTGCTTGCTACACACAGAAGAGAAGTCTGTTAAAGTGTGACTTTTTTCTTTTTTTTTTTTCTCACTCAAAAAGCTGATAATTTCTTTCACTGTTTACTTGTGAAGCACAAGCATCAACATGACTCCGAAATGAATAATGGAATGTACATACTATGTGCATATTACTCTACAAACCTGAAAAGCTATGTAATGTCAATACGTGTAATCGGGTCCCTCGCTAAAAAGATAGTTCTCAATAGCAGGTTAGGTTTATATGAATGTGTCCTTGTTATATCCTTGGCATAATGTGAAACTGATACCCTGCAGTCTGTTCACCAGAATTAGACCTGCAAACTTCTTGGTGACGCTGCTTTCTTTTCCACATTATTACACATGATAATTGCTAAGCTTTGCTGTAATTTTTTTTTTTTTCTTACACATGTTAAATGTCTAAAGTTAGAAAAAACAACAACCATGCCTGATTTTACACCTGAATGTGGGTAAGGCAATTTAGAATTATGCCAGGTTCTGAACTGTTTTACATGCACCCTGCAGTTCTGTAGCAAGTTTTGACAGCCTGATTATTGCTTTGATAAGTAATTTTTTTGTATCCTCATTATGCTCATTTAGAATAATCAAGGTTTTGGCTATCGGCCATCTTTTTAAAATGTCAAAAGAGATTAAAACAAAATGTACACGAATTTAGTGTACAAAGTTTTTTTTTTTGTCTAGTTATTTTGTAGTATGTTTAAAGCCTACTTAAAGATTTAAATTCACAGAAATAGACCCCAATAGGATAAACACTGTACTTACAAACTGCATTATCAGTCTTGGCTTCACATTTCCATTATAGCAGTTGTGCAGTATGATTTAATAAGACTGTTCAGTCTAGTAGGCATCAGAGTTTGATAGCTGTCCTATCACACAGCCTCCTCTTTCTCCCCAGCACAAGTGTGTGAGAAGAGGGGTGTAGTCTTTACTGAGTGTTACCCAAATAACTCGTTTAAGTTATGATCCACTGTATAAGCGTTCAAACTTACAAGTGTATGGTTCTGAGGATTCAATCGTGAGATTTTTGAGCTCAACAAAATAACAGAAATGTATTGGTATATACCGTATTTTTCCGTCTATAGGACGCCCCCCACTTTTCTTACCCAAAATTCAGAAATCAATATTTTCCATTTTCTCTTTTGCATAACTGATTACATCCAGTTAAAATTTAGCAGAGTAAGACAGCCGCTTACTGGTACCGGTATTTTTTTTGTTTTCTGACATTTTTATGGGCTCACTGTTGCATCTGGGCACTGGCTACACGCGTTCCGCAGCATCAGCTGACGTCGGGTACGTGACCTCATGATTGGAGGAAACCTGTTAGCGTGTCTCTGCAATCGGACGTTTCACTCGTGAGATTAGTTTGCAGAGATATCGGTATAAGACGCCCCTCCATTTTTAGGTAAATATTTGTAAGAAACAGTATACGTAAAAATACGGTAGTATTAAGACTTTAATACAGTGAATCAACAATCTATTCACCTTCAAAACGCAAAGAAAAGATTTAAGCATGCAAAATACACAGACCTTGATATATATTAGACAAACGATAGACATGTAAGTGGGGAGGGAGTACATGTATATTTACTGGTTAATTATCACATGAGGGCCCCATTCTGGTTGTCTAAAAAGACTAAGTTTTCCTCCAAAGTCTGGATTAATATGTATTTGTGGTGTACATACGAAAGCATTGAGGGCCATCGATTGGTGGCCTCCCAATACTTAATCTAATCAAATTAGAATCCTTCTCTGGGGATTGGATAGTTCCAAATACTCATTGTTAGAACTTCCAACCCCTTTCTATGCAACTCTTTAATGACGGTATGGTATTCAAATTTTATGGTGGAAAAATTCTAGATGCGCAGTTGTCCGTAGGCTAACCCCAGGGCAAAATTGCATCTAAACCAGGGCGGACAATCTAATTGTTTACTACATACAAGGGTCATTTGAAGCTCTTAGCCAGAGACAAAAAGAGAGTATGCACCTATTGTGAAGAAAAGGGGTCTTGGCTCCGAAGTCTTCATGGATGTTATTATCTCTCGTCTTGACCATTTACAATGAACAAGTCTGGGCAGTCATAATAACAGAGTCCCGGCGGCAAAAGTCGCCGGGAGTCTGTTTAAACAGCCCCGATGCTGGCGACGTACACTGTACGTCGTCAGTCACGAAGGGGTTAAAAATCCCCATGTAATAAATTCCACAGGACAGTTAAAACAATCTTCCTTACTCCAGTCACCCAACATAGAATATGTTTAATTAAAAAAAAAGCTTCCAGCTTCTGGAATAATTCTAGTATTTGTTCCTACATTTGCTTAAATGCAGGTCCTCTTGCCAGCGGTATGCCTCCTGGCTCTAGGTACATCATGCTGTGCTTTAAGTAATCTGTCCCCTGGATGAGATTTTTCAGTCTGCTCCATGCAAAGCTGGTCTTCTGTCTCCGAGCAGCACAAACTAGCGTTGGCCATGTACAGCTTGTTTACAGTGTGGATAAATGCAAATACAGGACAAGGCTTTGCTGCTGTAGTATATGACTTTATTGTCTCTTGAGCGAAACAAGAATGTAGAAATACTTAGACATTTGAGTTTTTTTGCTGCCACCTCCTTGAGATTTGGACACTGGCAAATAGAAAAAAATAATGTTAAAGGCCAGCCCCCATATAATCCGGCCTCTGTCAGATTTCTTTGTCTAGTGCCCTAGGAGGTTGGACGTCTTCATCTCAGCTCTGCTGATAAAAAGTAAAATGTTGGGGTTTTTTTCTTCATTGAGACAGTAATCAGCGATCCCCAAAAGCCCTACTTCTGCTGAAAAGATCTTGATTTTCGTAAAGTGGGGTAGAGTTACAGCCTCTGTCAGGGTCTTCTTTTTTATTGCCATCTATATCCCTATTGGGGATATTTACCAATACTTTCTGTCATGAGAGGAAGTGATGGAAAGTCTATCCAATGGGGGTGTTTACTTTTTGAGTGGTGAGGTTCGGCTTTACTTGCACATGAAATATAGATCAGAATGTGATGCTTTTTATTCAACTTAAAGGCTGACTACCACTAAACTTTTTTTTTTTTATGTTTGACAGGGTGGGCAAGGCACAGCAAGGTTCTGTAACCCCATTAGTGGTATTTCCCCTCATTTTCTCTTAATAGAAAGTGATACAAAATCTCTCCAGAGAGGGAAAATGACTGCAAAGATATAGCTTCTTTTTTTTCAATAAAATTGGGAAGGGGTAAAACCTTTGTCAACTTATTACTGCCTATGTCTTTCCACAACAGGTTTTTTTTTATTTTGCTAAAGTTGGGCTTTACAATTGTTCAGTTCTCCAATTTTGTTCTGCAAAATTGTGAAGTATTTTGATAGTATTTCTGGTTATTTGTGACGTAGTTTTTGATCAAACTCTGGTCTGTGTTATATGTAAGTGTATATCAGGACAAAAACAAATGCAGTACATCTCCAAAACATGTAGATTTCTCATGTTTACCCATATAAAAAAGCTCCTAGTACAATTTGCTCCCTCCTGTTTTGTGCGTTTCTGGGATTGAAACCCCACCCAATGTCTTCAGCCCTGCTTGCTGGACTACAGAATTCCACTTATCCCCCACAACGCTTTTGAACTTCACATGCATGCATCGATTAATTTCCCAGCAAACAATGCTGCTGCCTGCCCATGCACAGTATGCAGGGGAAGTGCTCTTTGGAGATGTGGTTTTTGAGGGCATGCTAATGTCAATAGGCACTAACCTCACAGCAGCTGCCCCTGCAAAAATTTTACAAATCTGGGGATGTCATCACAGGAAGCTGTTTCTTTTTACAGGGACAAAGTAAAATAAACTTATTGTGGCATGCTCTAGAGAGTTGGGTTAGGAAGTTTGGCTTAAATGTAGGTAATGCCTGGACATACATTGTAAGTCTGCTGTGAACAATTTGTCAGGAGCAGTCTGTAGTCCTATTGTTTACTAACAGGTTAACGTTCCATGCAGTTTGCTTTTACCGAGACATTTAATTCTCCACCTGTACATAGCTGAGACTACCTGCAAAATACCAACTATTGGTGAAACATGAGGACAGGTCTAGAAAAAAATAATAGAACTTATTGCGAAAGGTTATCATAGGTATGAGAGAACCTGCAGAATTACTGAGAAGGCAATAAACACCTTTAGTACCCAGGAAGTGTTCTGGCTGGTAGATTTCTGAGAAGTGCTTCAGTGATGTAAATGTGTGAGGAGACAAACTGCACGCAGACATGTTTGTATGATGGGAAACTGTTTGTTTTTGTATACCTGTCATGTTTTTGTATACCTGTCAGGTTTTTGTTTAATTTCCTGAAAGTGTATGAGGATGTTGGTCATTTGAAATGTTATATTTACCTTATTTTCATTATGTATTGTTGCCTCTGCAGATTTCAGGTCGTAATCCTTTTTAAACCCTACCATGGAACTGCCTGTGTTTTAATAGCAGTGGAGTTTTCTTTTCCCTGTTTCATTGATATACGATCCTGTTCCCAGGAGTTAGCTGATGCTTTAGTTTTGCTGACCATTTAGAAAATCAGACTTCCGAAGAGACCACATGGGAATTTATACAGGTTCTTTTGTGATGAATTTTACATGAATTGTCTGTGCAAGAGTGTCATCCCGTTCCTGTAATATATACTCATTTCATTTGAGCTAGCACTCAGTAAAAGTCTGATACTGTGATTAGTAGCTATTGTAATATATTTCTTTAGGTTCTCATAATTTGGGTTAGCGTTGGCATTAAAATTATGTATAATCTGTGTCTTTCCCCCCCCCCACTTTTAAGTCCGCATTCATTACTTAGATTTTATGAAAATTGGAACAATTATGCATCTATTGCTTGTGCCAATTTTCTAGGTTTTGTCTCAGATCAAAGATTCTGGTTAATTAGGCCAGCATCTACACTTTTACACCAGCCTTCATAAATATGTCCTGATCATTTTCAGGAAATATAGCTTTTTCAGGGAGTTTTAGGCTGCAAACCATGCATATGTGTTAGCTCAGCGCTGGAGGATCGGAGCGGGGAGCTGGGGAATCCCTGCAGGGAGCGGTGACTGACAGTCACTGCTCTCTGCAGAGAAATTATCGAAGTGAGCGAGCGACTGTATGTGATCGCTTCATTCTCGATCAATAGAGCCGACGTGTGGCAGTTTCATTGTCACACTTCGGCATAGTGGTCACATAGAAGAATAATTTAAAACTTAACATTTGATTTTCTGCTGTCAGATTCCTGATTTTAGTATACTTTTATTTTATTTTTTTCCTTACTGGATGCACATCAACAAAGAAAGATTGATTTCAATCAAACAATTTGAATACATTTTTCAATAGGTATATTGCAAATGGTTATATTGTTAATGCCCTTGCCTCCTATTTGCTTATAAGCAACTGGAAACCTAAAGTCTTTGCATCGTATATTTCACTAGACTATTGGTCGCAAATCAGTTAGGATTTTAAGTTTTTAAAGTGTATTTTTACTTTTGCAGTCACTTTTTGCATAACAGCTACTTTTATATTTGTTACACGTTCTCATTCACATAGTATTACTTGAAAACATATTGATAAATTGCTCCTTACAGTTTTCTTCTTTTTTTCTGAAAACTCCAAATCTGAGTTTGCTGTGCAAGTGGGCTGGGGAGATACAGTTTACCATAATTAGCCCTGTTTTCACTGTCCTAGCAGATCCGATTCTCAGTTATAAACCATAGCTGAACACTGTGTCTGTCCTAACAACTTAATAAAGATATAGAAGCTTGGCTTCTGCATTTTATGTTAATGTGGGAAACTCACTTTGGGGGCAGAATCACTTTGAAATTGTTCAGAGTAGCTTGCAGCCTTGACAAAGGCCTGCTCCAAAGAAACCTTTAAATGTAAGCAGTATATAATTTAACTTTTTTTTTATTTTTTAGGTGTGATGTGTGAATGGGAACACAAAACAGACATTCACTTTAAACACACGTCCTGTAAGTTTTTGTTTAATCCTGCAGTTAATTTGGGACCTTCACTGGTGTGAATTTAAAGTGAACCTTCTATGGCAAATAAAAGGTCTTCCCCTGCTTACCCAATGCAATAGGTTTTAAAAAGCAATTTGTAAACAAACCATTCGCACACAAAAAAAAAAAAACTTACTTTGGCCTTGGTCTCTGAAGCTTCCAGGAAGCACAGATGATGATGTCATGCCTCCCACCATAGCTGGGGGCTCGAAATCCCATGAGAATACATGCTTGCAATGTGCTCCTTAATGCAGTCTTCCGATGTTAACTTTTTTTTTCTTTTAATAAAGTAACATTAAACCAAAAAATGGGAAATCATTTCAGCACTTGATGGTCTGCGCTACTAAATAACTTAAATGCCTGTGTTGGCAGTAGTGCCCACTTAAGTACTGTAATTTCCCTAAGGTCAAGAATGCTGCAAGCTGAGTACAAGTTGATGAGATTTTAGAAGCAATTGACTGTAGCTTTGGAGGTAAGACGCATCAGTGAATGAACTCATGAGTGATCCAGAGGACCTAAGACTGTTCTCAAATGCAAGCTGTATGCAGCTGAAAGTGTACTTTATTTGCCCACCCACCCAAGCCCTTGGTTCTCAATTTAATGGCATTGGCAGCGTTTGAATGTTAGATTTGGAAAAAGCATAGTTATTTAAAACTGGTCTGTGTGGCAATGCCAATTGGTACCTCAGGAGAGATGAGTGCTGATAGGAAAATATAACTGTTTTGGGTCAATTTCTTCTTTTTTTTTTTTTTTTTAGTTTATGGGTTTTCTCATTTTTGATTTAATATGATTGTTTAAATATAGGTCTTAAATATTATCATTTACATTCATTACAAAGGATTTCCGGAGCACTGTGGGTTATCTAAAAAGACAGCACACCAGAATCAGCCTGCTTTAATACTTTTATTGAAACCTCAAATGGATAATGGATGAGTTACTGCTGTGTCTAAAGTTCAGCTTGTCTTAATGACCTCTTTAAACATTTAACATTTACAGCAGGTGGTAAAGATACAGAGTAAAACTCCAAACAGTGTCAATGTCCCACATTCAAGCTTTGTGGTTGTTCCAAACCAGAGGCTTATGTCAGGCCTCCTTTGTACTATGGCCAGAACTGCTTTTGGGTGCTGTAGTTTGTAATGCAATTTTCATGTATCGGAACATGTTAGATCATCAGTAAAAATCTACCTCAAGTTCTGCTGCAATACATGATAGTGAGCTGCAGGTTAAGGGATGATATGAAAAGATATATATTTTTTTAAAATTTCATCCAGAGTATTCTGTGCTTTCCTTGTATATTTTTAGGCAGCCTTAACAAAACTTTCACTTTGAGGGCTTGTAGATTGTAAAGCGTTTCACCACTGTATTGCAGATTTCCCCTCACATCCATCTACATTGCAACATTTCTGTTGGCAGGGCTGCGATCTGGGCATTTTTCCAGCTGTTACATTTTACCCAATATTCTCTAGGAAGTTGCTGAACCAAAGTCACAAAATTGTAAGAGCAAAATCATATATATACACACCACCCAGGCTATTGTGCAGAAAATTAGCCTATTTCAAGGCATACCATCTGAAAGCAAGAAACATGAATTTTGGTTTGTTCATTGACATGAAAAAGAGCATCAACAGAAATAGTAGAATTGATTGTAAGTGTGTAATAGCATTCTATGTAATTTATACGTCAACCGAAACATGATTGTTATTCCATTACTGTGTGTTACATTCTGCTCAGTAAAACTGTATGTGACCACATTGTGTTTTTTGTTTTTTATTTAATTTTTAATTTATTTTGCTTTGTGTAGTTGGTGCTGTGACTTGTTTGTGCTCATCTCTGTCCTGTAGGCAACTTGCCACTCCCTACTGAATAAAGCTACAGTAAAAGAAAAAAAGGAAAACAAAAAATCAGTAAGTTTGTAGAACTTTCTCTTAGCCATTTTCTTCCCCAACACAACAAAAAATTGACTTCTGGAACCAAAAATAATCCTAAACCGTTTTTGTTCTATTTTATTTATTTAAGCATCTTCACTCCAGCCTCAAGTCCTTCACTGTCAAAATCATTCTACTAATTCTGGCTCAGAAAGCTTTCATTTCAATTAACACACTGAAATTCTTTTAGTTTTGCTCCTCTTCTGCGTGACTGATTGATACAAAGGAAGGGAATATGGTTTTGGCTTTACTGTTTGAGTATTGTTGACAGTACGTAATGCAGGGGTTGGTTGGTCTATTTCTAGACTTTAGGGTCCGTCACATCTGCTGCTTTCTAGATGCTTGGGGTGCATAGGCCATTCCTTTCTTTAATTAAAAAAGGGTCTTTCTCTTACAAACTGTTAACAAAACGTATGTGCAATATAAATTTTCACACTTCCATTGGCTTTAGAACTTTGCTAGTCCCAATTCTACAACACAAGGTAAGATGAGTACTATGTGTATTATGTTGATTTATTTGTCTGATATAATTACAGTAACATCTGTTTCGGTAGCTTAAAGTGTATGTAATGCTTTACAGTGAATGGATTTTCTTCTCTTTTGCATTTTTAAATATACCATTTAGAAGCATTTTGATTTGCTTGATAAGTGCAAAATTGTTTTTGTCAGACATTTAGAATTGTCCTGTGTCCTCTGCAGACTTTCTTTATTATTTCATAGAATCCTCCCAGGTCTTATATTGGACACAGAATGATTAGTCTTTGCGTTGTAGAGATCTGGGAGTGGTTTACCAAAAATTGGGCAGGGCTAACACAACTCTGCCCAGAACAAATCTGAGTTATGCATTTCTGGCAGATCAACAGGTATTTTTCTGTACATTCTGTAAATGTGCATGCATTGCAGAGATGTACTGCATATGCTTTCTTTTTTTAAATGTAGTCTTGCCATACAATTACAATTTAATTTAGACATGAACTCATAGCTGAAAACATTATTAACAAGTGAATTTTAAAATAACATTAGTTTGTTAGGATCTGAAATTCTGTATTTAATACGTCTACCCAAATTTTTATATGAAAGTATAACTAGGGCCATGCAGTTCTTGGAGATTCCTTAGAATGCATGGGGCCACTAAAAACGCAATATTGGATGAATTCTTTGGAACTCCATATGACCAGATGAGGGTAACAGGTTTAAGGCCCCTTTCACACGGGCTGATCCAAAGTGGTTCTATGCACAGATGCCCTCCTGATCAGAGCAGATGTCAGGTCCGGCGAAATGGGTGTCTGATCCGTTCGTTTTTAAGGGACCTGGCTGGAGTCGGGGGTAACCAGATGTAAACAGACGCCAGTCCGTTTACACACAGCTGACCATAGAGTAACATAGGGCATCCGATCGTGTCCGCTTGAAAAACTGAAAGGTGGGCGCATTTGGACTGCCCATGTGAAAGAGGCCTAAGGCCTGGTTCACACAACGTTTTGTAGCGCTTTTTCTGTCCTAAAAAACGCTCAAAAAATATGCCCCCCCAAAAATCCCATTAATTTCTATGGCCCTGTTCTCATCTGAGCCTTTTGTCGCAATAAGCAAAGCGCCTGTTGCTGGAAAAAGTACATTAACTTTTTGTTTTGGCCCTATAGACTCAATACGAAACACTTAAAAATGCGCGTTTGCTGTGTTTTTTGTGTATTTTGATGTGTGTTTGCTCATTAACATCCATGAGCTAGAATCTGTTCACAAAAATGTGCAATTTGATTTATGTGCATAAAAAGCACCAAAAAGTGCATCAACAACGCACGTAGAAACCTCTAAAAAACGCCTATGTGTGAACCCAGCATAAGTGTAATTTTATACCACGTCGGCTGCTTTCCTCTTGTGTACATTTTTTCATACATTTGTGAAAACAAAATCAAATGTTTATCTTAGTTTAAAGTAACCTTTTCTTTCTTTTTTATCTTTTTAAAAGTGTTGTTTTAAGCATATACATTCAATATTTGAGCTCCCTGTTTAGCTTTGTTCCAGGTTACTGTGACTAAAACTATAAAATATTTTTTTTGTTTCAAGATTCCTATATAGCCTTTACTCTTCTCTTTTTCTATTATACTGACATTGCGAGAGGCTTAACATGCATTAGTGCCTGAGCAGATTGTCAAATGCCATATGTCGCTTAATGCAGTCTCAGTAGATGCTCAGTATTGCAGCACTTCTGGCCTTCGCATGACACGGTGCGTTAAGGAAAGAATAGCCCAGCCAGTCATATGTTGCTCGCTTCTTGCTCTTGCGTGTTCAGCAACTGTCTTATTTTATTCAGATGTCCCTGTACCAGAAGATAGTTATGTTCTCGACCACATCATTTGCTGCTTCCTGATATGTGATATTTCTTGAAAATATTTTGCCTGGCTGTTAAATTGTTTTAAATGGAGCTGTCAACCTGCTTATTGCCTTGTTGCTTGGTGATCCACATACCTAGAGCAAGTAGTCAGAACAGGAGTTCAGACTTTTGAGACTTTCTTGGTTTCATGCCTGTTCCAGGTAAGTTACTCAACAAGTAACAAAGCCAGCAACAGGATGACAGCCCCAAAGATTGCACCTGCAATGGCAGCTCAATATTTTTGTCATCACAGGTTCACTTTAAGTACTTTAAAGTGCACAACAAGCTAAATATATCTTCATATATAACCACAGAGAGTACTGTGCAAAAGTTGCAGGCACTTATGAAAAAATGCTGTTGAGGAAGGATGCTTTCCAAAGGCATACACTTATATTTGTTGTGTCCACCCTTTGCCTTTAAAATGGCATCAGTTCTTCCAGGTACCCTTGCACATAGCTGAGAAATTTGGAGCCATGTGGTCCAGTGCATGAATAAATTAACAAATGGTTGCTCAACAAGAAATCATGTAGGATCAAATGCAATTAACCACTTCATGACAGTTCTTTTTTTCATTTTTTTCTTTACATGTTATCCACATTTTAGGCCTGAAAATTACTTAAATCCCCCAATATTAGCGCAACTCCTTATCAAACCCCAAAATGTAGTGAAAAGTGCACTTAAATGCCCCAAAACACAAAAAAATACCCATTTTTTACATAAAATATAAAAGAGGAGGTTACAACTAGTAAATAGATACCCAACATGCCCAGGTTAAAAATTGAGTGCGTCCGCGAAACTGCGACAAAGTTCAGTTCCACAAAAAGTCCATAGACGATGCTTTAAAAGCCCCCACCGGTCATCACTTCAGAGATGTAAATATTGGCTCTAGAAGTATTGCTCTCACGCGCGATGATACCCAACATGTGTAGCGTGATCGTCGTTTTCGTACATAGGCGCACCCGACACGTTTTTACGTGAAGACTCCCGTGGTCCCGCTTTAAACATTTTTAATATTATTTTTACATTTATTATTACTTTAAAAAAACGTTTTTTTTTTTTTCTTTAATTGCTATCACGTAGATGGGCTTACCGGCCTGTAGAAACGATCTGGTGGCAGAATCGCTTTACAAGTTTAAACAGAGTCCCGACGGCAAAACCCGCCGGAGTCTGTTTACATGAGCCTGGTGCCAGTGCGGTACACTGTCATCACTGGTAATGAAGGGGTTAAAAGAATTATCTCTGTCGGAATAATGAAACGCAATGCCCTGCTAACCATTTTGAGGTTGCTGAGGAAAGTTCAATGTAAAAAGTCTGAGGACAGCAACAAGACAGTGATCTTTACTGCATCAAAAAGGTATTTCACTGGAAGAAGTTTTAAAGCGTATTTCCACTTTTGCTGTAAAATTTTGGAAAACCCAGATGTATGTTCATTGTGTTCCTATTCACACAGCTTACTGAAAAATAACTTTTACAAAAATGTCTTAACTTTTTAGATGTTTTGTTAACCAGTTGACATCCGCGGTGTTAAACCCCCTTCCCATCCAGGCCATTTTTCAGTATTCAGCGCTGCGGTACTTTGACATTTATTCTGTCATGCAGCGTAGTGTTATCAGTGATTGATGGCCCTAAAATGATTCTCTCACTGCGACGTTCGCGGCGATATGTAACATGTGTAGCGCAATTGTAATTTTTGTGCGCTGGGGCACCGGACGCGTATTTATGTTTATAGGCGGGTGGGGGAGTTAAACATTTTGATGTTTTTTTTTTCCCCTTTTTTATGTGACTTAATTTTATTTTACTTTTTTATGTTACTTTTATTTTTTTTTATTTATTTTTTTTTTCTGCACTTATTGTTGTTGCTATTATATAGGGGGATAACAATCCCCCTATATAATAGCAAAGGCACACTGACAGGTCCTCTTTATGGAGACATTAGGGGTCTCTAGGACCCCTAATGTCACCTGTGGACCCCAAAAGAAGCTGATGAAGCAGAGACGCGAACGAGCACATATAGGCGATCGGCGGGCTATGGACCCGCTGATCGCCTATATGTGAAACACCCGTTACCGGGTGTTTGCATTGGTCGGGTCAATGCCAATGCTGCAGTGCCGTCCGTCCGTTTTTTTACTACGGGCGGACGGCAAGAGGTTAAAGCAAGCAAGGTGGCTGTTTCCCAGTTTTTCATAGCCCTTTCACAGTGGTCTGTCCCAATGGAAAGTCTTGGGACCAACATTTGAGGATTGTGTTTATCTGATAAGCTTCATTGACGTACAATGGACAAGCCGCCTCATCCCTCCACAGGCCCTCCTAACATTTCAGTGAAATAGAATCAAGAAACAGGTATTAGCTTGTGCTATGTGAATGGGAACATGTAACATTTATAGAGTAGGTGTTATCCCAATTAGGCTATGAAAGTGGAAATACACTATCCTCCCTGGCGGTATTCCCGGGTCTGGCTCGGGGTTAACTTTCAGTACCAGGAGCGGTAACCCCGAGCCAGACTCGGGAATGCACAGAAAAGTGTCACTTACCTTGTCCCTGCGAGATCGCAGCGTCCTCGGCTGTACACGGCCGGCATCTGAGTTTTAGTTTCGTTTTTGGGCGTCACAGCAGGGGCAGAGCGGGCAGGAAATTCAAAAGTGAAAAATGACATTTACACAGGATACACCCAATACAATGTAATCTGCTTTAATTACACTTGTGTATCAAACTATCTCACTTCAATGTTCCATAAAAAACAATGTACCGCTTTGGGATGCTAAAATCCTGAATAATCATACCGCCAGGGAGGTTAAGGTTAATTGCATACCTTTTAGAACTTACTAGCTGAAATTTGACTGTGACTGCAAGCTGTTTGTATCTTGCATAACTGATCAGAACATTGTAGTAAATGAATAGCTTTGCCAAAAGGAATGTTTAAAAAGTTGTATTGGTGTATCTTAACCTAAGAACACCTGGTGATCTTGTCAGTAACTTTCCTGTCTAAGACCCCATTTACACTGAGCTACAGCAAAATAAGCATTTTTTTCTGCGTATATTTATGCAGAGCGACTTTGAGTGGCATTGAGCTACAGTGCACATTTTGATGCGTTACATAGCGCTTCTTTTGGCATTTTACCACAGAGACCTTGGAGCTGCTACATTGGGCAGTATCCAATCAAAAGCGGTCTTTGTAACATCATTCCTTTTCCTGCTTCTATGGAGAGTGTAATTTCTGGACAAAAGTGACACTTGTGTAGCACGACATCGCGCTACAATCACGTGCAAAAATACTGCTAATTAACAACATTGAGCTACCCCATTGAAGTCTATTGGGGCCAAGAAGCACACAATCAGCCAAAAAGTAGCTCATGTTCGAGCTACAGACAACATTGAGCTTCAAGATGTGAACATCTCCATTGAAATGCATTGGAAGAGCTACACTGAGCTTAATGTTTTGAGCGGAACAGAAAACATGCTACAAAATGCTCAGTGTGAATGGGGACACCCTAGGCCAGGAAGTGTTAGGACTGCAGAAGACTTCCCCCTCTGCTCATCTCCATAACCTGGAGTGAGCTTTTCTTTACTCCACATATAGCTTGAAACACTACTAACTGATAGCCGTGCAGCAGAGGAATAAAGCACAGGAAGTTATCAGCTCACTGGTTTTGTGGCAGGATCCACAGGTATTTTCTTGCACTTATCAAACAAAATTCTTTCAAGGGTATATTTAGCAGACCAAAAGGGAGCAAATAGCACATTCATTCTTAGGGTTTACATATACTTTAGAGGAGAACATTTCTTTCCTTTAGGGTCACCTCACCATAATCTGTCTGGTTATACTTTCCCAGTAGACCCTAAGCCCCATTTCATGGGTTCCATGCAATGCATTGATGATGGCACACAAGGGGGAAAAAAAAAACTCCTTCTGGCTCCTATAATATTAGTCTATCGGTGTTGTATACCAGCACTGCTGGATACACAGGTTGGCCAAAAATGAATGAAACCTTGTGTGAACTTGACTTTAAGGCCTGCAGTTCCTTTTTTTTATGCTACTGTCATTGCTGTGCTTTAGATGACTGACGTCACGCTGCTTCACACGATTCCCACTAATCTGTTCTATTTTCTGAAAGCCATGGCAGGGGAATTTGGTGATGTGCTCACTTTTATGTGGATTTTCCTTATTGATAATGGCATTTGTCAAACCCTGGGTGTATTCAATTTTTTTTTTGTGCAGATGCTATTTTAAAATTCTGAATTCAGCAGGTCTTGCAGCTGGTAATAAACCCAATGGGTTGGTGATGAAGAGAATCCTGCTCAGTTTACAGATCAGTGTAGAAAGCTTATGAGGTTTCTCCCTGATCATTTTAGTAAGATGTACAAAGTTTGCAATAACTCTTCATGCAGTCCCAGTTCTTGGTGTCGTGCTATGTTCAGTGAAGGCCTTCTTTGTGTGATAGTATGTAGACAAATATGCTAGGTAGACCATTGAACAGAGTTTTCTTCTTGGTGTAATTCGGGTTGTCTGCTTATTAACCGCTCGGTTACTGTGTACATGCAGCTCACCTTTTATCTCCACTAATTTTTGATGTCCTGATTTTCTTAAAATATATTACAGTATGTAGGTTTAACTGTAATCACATACGGTTTACTTTACAGTTCAACTTTGGGAGTTTTTTTACTTTTTGTTTACAACTGTTAAACATGCAGTGTTTGTGTTTGCTGTGTTCTACAGGTTGTGAGCCAGAGGTTTCCCCAGAACAGCATTGGTGCAGTTGGAAGTGCTATGTTCCTCAGGTTCATTAACCCGGCCATTGTGTCTCCTTATGAAGCAGGGATATTGGATAAGAAGCCACCACCTAGAATTGAACGTGGCTTGAAGCTAATGTCTAAGGTGACTTACTGTTTACTTTATAGTTCAAGGGGCTGTTCACTCTAACACAATCCTCTATTCTCTCCCACACCATGTATTTTTGTCGAAGTTGCAAAATAGAGCAGGACTCTAGGGAAGATATGTCTGTGTAATAAAGTGTCCTTGCTTAAAGGTGAATTATGGGGTGAGTGAAAAAGACTCATCCCCATAATTCAAGCCGACCTGTGACACTGAAGCTGTCACAAGTCGGCTCTACTGATCGGGAAATCAGCGAACACATACCTCGCTGACTTCCCTTCTCCCCTTTCCATTTCTCCAACGCTGACTGAAGGAAAGGATGGGGGAGGGGACTGGCAGAGCTGGCTCTGCCTCTAGAGCTGCTGTCAGCCAGTGGGGTGAATCTCAACAGTAATGTCGGGATCCGTCCTGGCTGTGGCACAGCTCTGTGGTCTCAGCATATAGCGCGAGATAGCCCACTATATATTGAGGTTTAGGTCACCGGAGGACATTAGTATATGTTTTTCTGTGACCCTGTAGAGAGGTATGGCCAAAATCACAAATCAAATGTGGTTTTCCTGCCCTTCCCTAATGTTGGTCATTATCAAGAGGCCACTTGTCCAGGAAATCTACCAGTGCACACGTGTCTACACACAGTTTATTTCTCGTGGTTGTTAAAATGGTGACTTCTTACTTTTAGGGTCTTTGTACATGAAAACATTCTTTGCATCTATGAAAATTACAATCACAACAGGTTAAATGGAATTGTTTGATAACTTGGTTATATCAGTTAATAGTAAGATGGATGCTGTTCTGTCTTCATTCCAATTTTCTATAATGCACCTCCCAGGGTTCTTTTGTAAAAGCAGATACTTTCCCCTTTCACTAGAGGATTACTGCTGATCAATGATAAATATTGTTAAAATTTCAGTGCAAAAAATGTTATGTTAATATTTGTGTTTTTAGATTCTCCAGAGCATTGCCAATCATGTCTTGTTTACAAAAGAGGAGCATATGCGCCCTTTTAATGAATTTGTGAAGAACAACTTTGATGCTGCACGAAGGTAAGAAAAGATGGCTGTTTGAGTTCACGAAAGTTTATCTGCAGTCAGTTTTAGGGCTGCAACAACCAATCGACTAAATCGATAATAATCTATTATGAGAATAGTTGGCAACTATTATCGATTAGTGAGAGAGAAGTTTATTTATACAACCAATCGATTAGTTGAAAAAATAATAAGGCAACTAATCGATTATGAAAATAATCATTAGCTGCAGCCTTTGTCCGTTTAGCTGTGTTTAGAAAAAAGTCAGTTGCGTCCAGGAATTGATTTGAACTTCTAAGTGCACCAAAAAGCATGTGAACTTAAAATGTGTTTATTTGCTGAAATCTCATTGGCTACTACAATGGACTGTTTCAATGGACAAAGGACAGATGCGTGTAAACACGCGTCTTTTTTTAAGCACCTAGAAGCATAAACAACACATCTAGCCTGACAGATCTCTGCATAAACACACAAGTGGCAGGTGTGAATTCATTTGAGTGTTTCGTAGTTATTCGTTTTTTTATTTACACATAAATGCAGAATTTACTGTATAAAATAATCACATTCAAAAGGGGATGCTGCAGAATTGTCATATTTTGTACAAAAGTGTGCACTCTTCCCTTTTTTTGTTTTGTTTGTGGTAAGTAGAAGCTTTTTTACCTAACTGAGTTACCATAATCTTTACTATTGCTCTCTGAGAAGATATGGGTATTTTCTGTTCCTCTGTGCCTGCTTGGCCAGGCACTGTTATCTGTACAACTACCATTTTGTAGTTTAAGATTTTTTCTTGTGGGCAGGGTTTTTGACCTATTGGGAATTTACAATGCACCAGCCCCTTCGTTCTGCTGTGTTTTATTCAGGCCATGTGCCCAGCAGCCAGTCTCTCCTTTCACTACAGCTGTTTTTTGTTAACGCTCCTTATTTTTAATTTTTTTAACTGTAGTCACAGTTTTATTCATTTTAATGCGCTATACTCTTAATGCTCTTTATATATGGGGTGCATGAGTATTTTGGAGAGTCTTATTCAGTTCTGGTACTCTAGTAGCTGCTATTTAGTATGCCTGCCAAAAATTGTGGGGTTGGCCATCCTGTAACTGTGGGTGACTGTTTCACCAGGACCCAGTATATTATCTATGCATGTTTGCATTTTCTTTTTCTGTTACTCGTTTTTATGCCTTGGTACCCATTGTGCATCCACATGATTGGAGGCGCTTGCAATGCTCACCTCCATTTTCCTGAGCAAGTCCAGACACAGCAACACCTTATAATGAAAAGTCTGTTGAGAACCCTCATGTTTTAGGGTGACCGCTATCCCCTCCTATTCCTATAGGTATGGGGTCTGCGGTTTCTCACCCAAAACCTTCCTGTGTCCCACAGATTGGCAGTTGGAACCGTCATTGTGCTCAACTTTACTTCATAAATAAAAATATAAGCTATGGAATGCAGCTCGGAAGCATATTTACACCAAAAAACTTTGTAGTAATTTTTATCTATAATTTGTCTTAGGTTCTTCTTTGACATTGCAAATAATTGTCCTCCGAGTGACACTGTTAATCACAGCCTCTCCTTCATTACTGATGGAAATGTTCTTGCCTTACATCGGTTGCTTTGGAACAACCAGGAGAAGATTGGACAGTATCTATCCAGTAACAGGTGAAGTTTAAAACAACAAATGCATAGTTTGCTTTTTACAAGGTGTCCAAATCATTCCTCCACATGGTCAGATGAGCATTCTCATGATAAAGATAACAGGAATCTACTTGTAATTGATATGGACTCAACTAAAGAATTTATTGCAGGAACATAATTCAAAGGATAACATTTTGAGGTCCTGCTGATTGCAAAGTATTTCTCCAACAGTGTTTATTTTTGAAGTGTTACTACTACAACTGCTGACTTTTCCGTTCGCCCCGTGTGTTAATGAACTTTACAGATTTTGTATTAAAAAATTGGTTTGGCAAGAGTGTATTTCTGATAATGTGTTCACACCAAGAGTTTTGTGTAGCTTTACCTATTCATGGCTCCAGATATGTTAAATTTGGCCATGCATTTTTACTGCACATAATACAAGCACATAATTTGGATCACATGGGCAGAAGCTGTTCTTCAATGTTTGCATGCATTGACAGATGCTTGTCATCCCATTTATTCAGTTTCCATCGCTGATCTTTCCTTACGGGTACTTTGTAAAAACTTAATTAACATATAATCTTTTTAGTATTGGCTTAACTCAACAGTTTTCTACTTTATGTGAGATTATTATCCCACAATATACACGTTTCCAGAGATTTATCCTTAGCTGTAGTAGTCTAGGTGCCCCAAGTGAGGAATGGGCAGTCCAGCTCTTCTAATTTATTTTTAGCTTTACTGTATGTAAAGAGTTGAATCACAATTACTAGATCGGGAGGTGAGCAAACACATACGGGTGTTTGCTCACCTCTCGATCCTGTCACGGTTCTCTGCCGTGACATGGGAGGGGCTGGATTCCCCGATCCGCGGGTACAGCTGGCTCTGCCTCTAGATAGGCAGAGCCAGCTGTCAGTCATGCAGCTGGGCAGATCCAGACATATACAGCTCACGGTATACTGAGCCTAGGGTGATAAGAGGACGCTAGTTTGTGTGCTCCCGTTACCCTAAGGAGAACTATGGGGAAAAGCTTTATCCCCATAGTTCTCCTATAAGTTCTGCTGAAGAAAAGTCTAACTATAGTTTTTCCTAGATTTTTATCTGTAATGACTTTGATATATATTTTTTTTTTATCATTGAGTTCATTCAAAACTTGCACACTGCTGCTTGAGCTAGACTTTACATAGCAGCTATCTGGATCAGCATATCCTCCACATCAACTTTGGAGGCTGTGCCTGGACACAACTGGACTGAAAGATTGCAGGGCTAGCCTAGTTTCTGCATTGTGGCACTTTCTAGACCTGAAGGTGCTGGTTGTTAGTTGCATAGCTCTTTCAGGTTTCAGAGTCCTGGCACAGCCTCAGATGTGACTTTGCCTCTGAAGTATGCGGTACAACATCATACGTCACTATATACAATATACAAGTAAGCAACATGCATACCAATACAGAGGCAAGCAAAGCATAACTGCAGCAGCGAGTCACAGTAAGCAAAGGGAATCAAACTTTAAAATGCATGTAAAGAGTTAATTTTTCACAAACAATACTGACACAATGGAGAGGAGAGAACCAGATATAACAACTTTCCGGAGGACAAACATCCCCCTTTATGCAGCCTGTTCTCATCTGATCAGAAGGATGCACTGATGCCCTTTCCATGCGATTGGCTTTTCCTGGAGTGAGGTACACAGGAAGTGATACCACTCTGATGTAATCAGTCGGCACCAGAAGTGATGTCGCAAATGGCTGGCTTGGTTTAACGGCATGTGAGGTAAGTATAGAAAATGGCAACAGCATACCCTACTGATTAGCTGGGAACAGGCTTGATAAAGGAGGTTTTGTCCCTTGAAATGTTGCCATTACTGGTTATCTCCTCTTGTGAAAAACTCCTATTTTTTTTTTATAGGTATTAAACTTTGATCCACTTTGTATACATTGACTTACTGTTGCTTTGCTTACCTCTGCATTGTTATACTTGTTGCTGTATTGCATATTGTTATGGTGACATATATAATGCTGTACAGTATCTTATGTGTCGTCTTTGTTACCTACTTATCCTGATAAATGTATTTGCTGAACTCTATACTTTTCCGTTTGGTGGGTTTTATTTCTACTATTATACATATTGGATATAGGTTCTATGACATAGGACCTGTTAGAATGTATTGCACCCATATATGCTTTGTGTAAAGGTTTGCTCAATTGGTGTGCAAACAAATATTAAAAACTTTTATAAGTTAAACTATGTCAGAGTGGGTTAAACTTCTTGGAGAATCCTTCCACTGCTGGGGTAGGTTTCTGCATTAAGGAATAGTTGGAGCAGACGTCTGTTGCCTTGTGCTTAAGCTGAGACAGTGTTTTTTTTTTTTTTTTTGCAAGCCCTCGAACTTGTGCCGCATAGATCTGAAGTTGCACAATCATATAGGGCACTCTGTGTATGTGCATAATGAAACCTAAAAGGAACAGCTGATTCATCTTTACTTTGCGTGTTGGCTCTTTGAACCTGGCCCTTGACACTGTCAGGAACACCTTTTGTGGCCACAGTATTATTCTGCCAGTGTACAGGAGCTCTGTGGAAAGTTTAGTGGAGCCCCGTCCCTCTCTCTTCTGCCTTCGCTGTACATATTCTAAGATCCTGTGAGTCTTACTCTTGATTAGTCCATAAATCCAAAAGCTGGGGATCTGTTAATGCTTCTAGCAAGCCTTTGGTACCTTTTTGGTCATCAACGAGCGAGGCTGACCTGCTTAAACACTCTGCATTCTCTTCCCTAATGTTGTTTGTACTTTCCCCTTCCTTCCTATTAAGGGTCTAGCAGTACTGGGGACTTTTAACATTGTCTCTCCTTTACTTGTTGACTTTTGATCATCCTAAGTAGGGATGCACCGATACCAAGTACCGTACTCGGTACAAGTACAGATACTTTTCGAGCTCCAAGACTAGACTAGAGAAAAACTCAAAAGTTAGGAGGCAGCTGTCATTTGTAAGGAGCACACGAAGCTCCTGGGATCTGTACATCTCTGTTTTAATGTATGATTTTGATTTTGTTTTTATAAATGGATGCACCTAGAGCTGCAGCTAACAATTATTTTCAAAATCGATTAGTTAGCCGATTATTAAGTTCGATTAATCGGATAAACAATAAAATAAAGTTTAAAAAATGGCTCCAGTGATAGGACTACTAGTTTGTATTGAGGTTGTAGTCCATCACAGGAGCAAGCTTGGAGCGGTGGAAGTAAAAAAGAAAAAAAGATAGTGTGGTGTGCAATATAGTGAAATGGAAAGTGTAAAATTATACAGCAATGAATGCAGAATGGCACCGGCTATAGAGGACTACAAAACCCAGCAAAAGCACATTATACAGCGCAATGCAGAATACCGCCAGCTATAGAGGAATACAACAAATCCCAGCAATAGTACATAATAGCTGGCAGCATTCTGCATTGCGCTGTATAATGTACTATTGCTGGGTTTTGTAGTCCTCTATAGCTGGTGGTATTTAGCATTGTACCACTTTATAATGTACTATTGCTGGGATTTGTTGTAGTCCTCTATAGCTGGTGGTATTCCGCATTGCGCTGTATAATGTATTATTGCTGGGACTTGTAGTCCTCTATACAGCGCAATGCAGAATATCACCAGCTATAGAGGAGTACAACAAATCCCAGCAATACATTATACATACAGTGTATAATGCATTGCTGGTATTTGTATTCCTATGCATAATGTACAGTACAATGTACCATCAGCTATAGAGAAATACAAATCCCAGCAATACATTATAGAGCACCATGTGTGGGAAAGTGCAGGCTTACCAGTGCAGTCTTCCAGCAACTTGCTTTTGAGATCGGACCTGTCTATCAGCGGCTGTCATCCCCCCACCCCTGCTCCTCCTTACTACATCTCCCCGCGTGCCTTGCCGATCGTGGATGGGCAGGAAATGTGAGGCGGGGAGGAGGTGCGGTGTGGGGAGTGTGAATGCGAGCGGGTCTGGCAGCGGCGAGCGTGAGGTGGGGAGGAGGTGCGGCGCACAGCGTGTGGAGCTGTGAACAGGGCCAACTGATCGGAAGCCGATTAATCGATTATTGAAAAAGTTGACAACTTTTTCAATAATAGATTATAATCGATTATGTCGATTAGTTGTTGCAGCCCTAGATGCACCGATACCATTTTTGCAAGTACAAGTACTGATGCTTGTCCAAGTACTTACAAGTACAATTACTGATACATTTTTGTTTGTCATGCGACAGTTTTTCTAAAACAATACAGACTATGATGATTTCAGGACAGTGGTGGAGCTCCATAGCCAGGTCCCGGCTGCAACCCTGGTAGTTCTCATTAAAATGCCAAGTATCGGCACTGGTATCTGAAAAGTATCGGTGCATCCCTGACCCTTAGTCTTCCTCTTGGTATTTTGTGAGATGTGCAGGTAGCACCTATAGATCTAATGGTCCCTGATATGATCCCTGATGAACCCTCAGTCTTTTAGGGTCTATAGGGTGTATCTCTTCCCCATCGTCAGAAAATCCTGTCTCATGGCTGGAAATGGAGTCTGGTTCTCCAGAGCAGTCGGTGCCTGTTTCTTTGGTTAGTCCTGTTCTGGTTAACCCCTTCGTGACTGACGACGTACAGTGTACGTCGCCAGCATCGGGGCTGTTTAAACAGACTCCCGGCGACTTTTGCCGCCGGGACTCTGTTTAAACTTCTAGAGCCGACTGTCGGCTTTACAACAGAAGCGATCCTGGCGACTTACCTGTCGCCAGATCGCTTCTGCGTCACGAAGAAGGGGCCCCCCCCCCCGCCGGACACCCCCGCCGTGCTTCCCGGGCTCCGTTGCCCCTCCTACGGGCCCGGGACCGGCGATCTTTGTGTCCGCGGGGAGCTGGGGAGGAGGTCGACGAACTTCCGTTCATCGATCCCCTCCCCGTTCTATGGGACCGGGAGCGATGCAGATTGCATCACTTCCGGTCCCTGGGCTGTCAGTTCTGGGCTCCTGCAGCCCAGCTATAAGCTATTGAAGTGCGATCTGCACTTCAATAGCTTATTTCCAGTGTAAAGGTGACACTGAGGGTCTTTTGGACCCCCAGCATCACCTTAAAGAGGACCTGTCACCACCATCTGCTATTACATGGGGGGGCTTGCAAGCCCCCCCATGTGATAGCAGTCAAAGTAAAGTAAAAAAAAAAAAAAAAACAGTTTTTAAAATTAAAATGAAATAAAATAAATCTAATAATAAAAAAAAAAAATTTTAAAAGTACCCCGCCCCCGCGAGCACGCGCGTCGCCACGTAAACACGCGTCGGGTGCGCCTACGCATGAAAACGACGAACGCGCTACACATGTTGGGTATCGCCGCGCACGCCGGAGTGAGAGCAATAATCCTAGGGCCAGTATTTTGGGGTATTTCTAAATTGATGACCTGTGGGGGCTTTTAAAGTGTCTTTTATTGACTTTTTGGGGTACTGCAGTTTTTCGCCGTTTCACGGTCGCACGCAATCTGTAAACTGGGCATGTTGGGTATCGTTTTACTCGTTGTAACCTCATCTTTTATATTTCATTTAAAAAATGGGTAATTTGTTGTGTTTTGGGGCATTTAATTAAATTTGTCACTAAATTTTGGGGTTTAATAAGGAGTTGCGCTAATATTGCGCAACATAAAAATTTTCAACTACCACCATTTTATTCTATAGGGTCTTGGCATTCAGAAAATATATAATGTTGGGGGGTTTTACGTCATTTTCAGGCCTAAAATGTGGAATATAACATGGGTGCAAAAATTGAAAAAAGGGCCTCAGTCATGAAGGGGTTAATGGATTCGGTCTGTTTATAAATGATTATTTTGAAATAAGGCTTTACGCCTACAGTTTTACCTGCATTTTAAAACAAAGTGCGTTCATGTTTTGTCCACACCCCTGACCTAAATGTTCTTACCCTCCCCCTCCGGCAGATTTGTACTTACTGAGATGTCGGATCTCGGTAAGCACAAATCTACAGGGACACAGTTCTTCTAGTTTTTACATTCTAGCGCTGCAATGTTCCCCCTGCTGGCAGATCCATTTATTACAGCCCCATAGGTGTGCAGGACTGGATGACAAAAAAAAAACCTTTACATTTTCATTAAATGACAATGTTGTGAAATCTTGTTAAAAAAATTCCAGTACATTAAGGATATTTTAACCCCTTCGTGACTGGCGACGTAGATCGCTTCTGCGTCCCGAAGTGCGATCTGCACTTCAATAGCTTATTTCCAGTGTAAAGGTGACACTGGGGGTCTTTTGGACCCCCAGCATCACCTTAAAGAGTACCTGTCACCACCATCTGCTATCACATGGGGGGGCTTGTAGGCCCCCCCATGTGATAGCAGTCAAAGTAAAGTAAAAAAAAAAAAGTTTTTTAAATT